AACTATACCTTTTATTATCTACAAATTATTTAAATTATAAACAAACCACAAAATAGGTGATCAATGCAGAAAGAAAAATAACGGTCGACACTTTGAAGTAGAAGAGATTGAAATCTCTAACCTTCAGCTCCATCATAGAAATACTCTGAGAAAACTAATTCTATAAATTCTGTAAATAAACTTTTAAAAAGATAATGATAGGTAATGAAAATGTATTGATGTGGTATGCGTATATCTATATTTCAATACAACAACTCTCTTAATTTAGGGTGCTTTAGTTTTTGAAATTAAAAATAAATATTAGTAAAAACAAAACAAAAAAAAACAAAATTTTGTCAAACTAAAAAATCTTTGGGGTTCGAGGATTGTTTTAATAATGTGGATTTTTGAGTTTTTTTCTGAATTTGCAAATTATTCTAATAAAAATCTTAATTTTTTCTATTTTTTGGTCTTTTTGTCTTTCTTCACTTGCACCATCTTCTGAAATCATCGTCCTATCTTCCCAACTCCTCCTGCTTATTATCATCAGCCCTTCTTATTTTTTAAATTATACTATTTTATCTCTATATTCCAATAATCAGTATCGTAACTAACTCAATGAAAGCTTCTATAATTACGCCCTTAAAAAAGCCATCGTTAAGCCATTTATGGGACCCTCCAAGGTCTACGTCCTACAACTGGACATCGCCCTAGTTACGGACACTGTTAATAAACTTTAAAGATAAAAATAATTTAAAACTAAAATGTGACCAAAACGTAAAATAAAAAAATAAAAAAAAAACAGCAAATTTGGAAAATTATTTTTAACACTTTTTAACTTTTATTGTACTCATTACGGAGGGAATTAATCAGTTTCGCTTATTATGACTCAGCTAGATATAGACATTATGACTTCCAATCTCTAAAATTCGCTTGTATTTTATGCACCTTACTCATCTACAGCTTCTATTAGATATAATATAGTGCCTATTGGGGTATTAGTCAAAGAAGTAGTGGTTTTTCAGAGTGAAACGGTCGCTTTTATTATTTTGTAACACATGACTTTGAAACTTTTTTTATTCATTTTATTAATGTTTGTATAATTTCGACTTTTACTCTTACAAATTAATTTAAATAAATCAAGCCTTTTTACAATCTTTAACTCCTTCTTTTTGACAACCTCAGTCCCCAAAATATCTAATTTTTAACTATTTAAAATATACCTCAGTATTGATAAACATAATTTTCACAGACAAAAATTCGTGACGTATCTGTTACACATTCCAACCAAAATGGTTGCCCGTAGGCATTGATATGCCTGATAAATTTGACAGGGTCAATGATATAGATATAGACTGATCATTCATATGTTTTGCAAAATAAACATAAGCTCATGGACGAGAATATTCTCTGCTCGTGCCTTGAAATAATAATGTAGGTAATTGATTTTTTACTACATTGAAACTAGTTTTTAAAACACATTTTTGCCAAAACGAATCTGATTAATGGGCTATTACGAGGCAATATGGCTGCACGCAATGCGACTTGCTTTGAGCAATCCATATAACTACATATATCATTGACCCTGTCAAATCCAAGTGGTAGCACTTTTGACAGGTCGTTGGAATGTCTTATATTTTTTCTGGGTCCCGGAATTTTGTTCGAAAACTTGTTTTCTCATCTTTTTATTCGAACTAATTTTGTTCGAAGTAATTTTGTTTGAAAATTATTTAGTTTGAAAGTTATTTAGTTGAAAAACATTTTGTTCGAAAGTTATTTAGTTTGAAAACATTTTGTTCGAAAGTTATTTAGTTTGAAAACATTTTCTTCAAATATCTAATTTGAAAAAATATCCTTTCTAGACAAATGTAGTGAATTTCGAACATGGCGTTGTAATGCCGAAAGTGCTCGCTTATTTTTATTAATTATTTATACACACATGTCTATTTTTTTTAATTCTATAAGTAAAATTTGTAGGAAAATAGGGCTTTTAATATAATGTACTTAAAAAATGTTTATTAAAATAAAACTAATTAAAAAAATATGCATAATATTTTTTATTGAAATTTAATTTGTGTGAAATTTGGTTTAAAAAAGTTTTAATAGTTCCAGGTCGCATAGATTAGGTAAAATAGTTTTTTAATTATTGTCATTTTATTTAAAAAATTACGGCGAAGCTACTAGCGATGGCTCCAGGTCGTACAGGTTAGGTAAATTAGTTATATTTTTTATTTTTTTTTTATTTTATGAAAAGAATGTTTGCGAAGTTACTAGGAAAATATTTTTATTTTCATTAATATATTATACATTTAGATTCAACCATTTGAGATCGAAAAGTGTTTTAAAAAATAAGTCCGCATTGCATTTTTTGAAACAATTAGATATTCGAACAAAATGATTGCGATTAAAAAAAATCGAAAAAAATTTTTTTGGGCGAAATGTTTTAGAGGTATACTTTCGAACAAAATGTGTTAGAATCAAATAACTTTCGAATAAAATGTATTAGAACAAAATTCCTGCAAACAAAAAGATTCGAACAATATTCCGCGATCCATTTTTCTACCCAAAAATATCAAATATGAGGTCAAATTGCAAGGTTATTCAATATGAGGTTGATTTTTTTACTTTCTGCAAGATTAGCACCATAATTCTCCTGCCACAGACATCATATTGTAATATTAGAAAATGTTGAAGAAAATACAGTTATTAATAACTTACTTCTACTATTAGGTGTTTCTTCATAACATATCCCAGATAAAAAAAATACAAAACCAATCAGATGGTTTGAAAAAGCAAAACAACACTGGAGAGGCTTTAATGGTAGTAAAAATGTCCAATTTATTTTCTCACATTGGAATTCTCACTCTTAATAATACAATCCCTCTCTAAAGCATAATCCATGTCTAAAATATAGATTAAATTGTTACCAATTATTTATTTGTTCCACCATATTACAGTATAGGTACCTATATTTAAATAGTAAAAAATATTGCGAGCAATAGATAGGTAGTTATTTAGCAGGATTAAAATTACTCTAGTTTTTAAATTGTGGTTAAACAAACCCCGGAGTTGCTTTCAAGCCGACACCTTGTAGATCTTAAAGACATCCAAACGTGCCATTTACTGCCTATTTATTTGAACAATTTACTGAAAGCAAAAAAATCTCGAACCATTAAAAACGAATTTAATCTGTAGTAGCCAGAGCACACGACTTAAATCATCCCATCGTTCACGTCACGCATCAACATGTGCTCTCAAAGCAGTGGCGTAGGTAATAAAAACAAATTGCTGCTGTTCCAAATAAACATATTAAGAGAGGGGATATAAAAAAAATACGTTGGAAATTACTTCCGTTTTATTTCAGTGAATAAATATACAAGTAAACCAAATTAAGATTATATATTGCAATAGTTATGTATCTCTAAAGTTGCTCTACGGCACTTTGGCTCCCCTAGTCCTATTGTGCATCCTCTTAAGTTGATACGACCGATAACGTGGCAGAGAAGTAACTCACTTATATCGGCCGGTGTCAGAGAATACTCAAATCTCCTGATAAATGAAATTATCGGGCAATTCATAGAGGATATACTCAATAGTCTCATCTTCTTGATTATACCTCCTGCAGAGTGCGTATTCTAATAGCCCCATGCAATGGAGGTACAACCATACTTTCAGCAATGACCAGTCAAAATTCCTGTGATCACACAGGTCAATCACAGATTCTGCCTAGTCATAGTTAAGTATTTGTTTGCTGAAGTGTTGTCAGGTTAACTTCCAAGTTCCACGGCAACTCTGCAGGTTTTTTTTTTCATCCCACCTTTCCTTGAATTTCACTATCAAATGTTCTTTATTTAAATTTGTCATCTTCAATATTGTTAGTCCAATGAAAGGGACAAGTCCAAAAAAAATTTGGTTAACTGCATTCTTGGTTAGAGAATCTGCAGTACGATTACCTATCGATATGTTATGGCCATTGTTGATGGATTATTTGACCAAAGCTTGATGAAATTCTAGTACTATCCTTAAGTAAATTCCTAGTCTGTCCAGGGTGGGTTTTGTTTGTCTGCTATCTGCATAGACTATCATGTTCCTTCCAGTGATATGGTTTTGGGTGATTTATTTTGCTTCTATGAGAATCCAAATTAGCTCAATGTAACGCAATAGTTATTCCAAGAATAGCATTTGATTTAAATTTCGGTAATTGCAGAAAAAACTTGAGGGTTTAATAAACAGGACAAAAAAATGGAAAACTATGAAATAGATAAGAACATTATCTAAGATGTATCGTTGAAAAATATCTGTTATTTGTTTTTGAAACGTTTTCTTCTTTTTGTTCTGCTTCACCATTCTCTAAACCCCTTTTTACAGAGCACTAACTGGCTGTTCCGTACTCATGACAATTCATCAGTTCCCGATTCGTAGGTTTTGTCCTGCATAACTTGTACATATTTTGAATGGTCTTCCTGTAGTTATGTCCTTTTCAGCAATTTTTATTTACTAACACAAATTATTTCATTGGAAAATATATTTATAGCAATAAATAGTACAATAAATTTGACAAACTTGATATAAGACTTATTTGTATTTAAACCTTAGATGGATAACATTAGCAAAATTATTTCCCGGTAAACAAATAAAAAAAATTCCTTACTACCTCACTGGTTTACGCATCAACATATGTTGGTACACCTCAGGTACACCTCATTATGAGACATATAGACTGAACGACTGCAGTGTTGTATATTATATTCTTTCTGGTCCACAGATATTAACGAACGGTGTTTACTGGCACAAAAACTTAACCACAGAAAGAGAAGAAAAATAAGATGAATGGAGGTTATATTTATCAAAACTATTTTCCTTCCCAATGGAAATATTCTAGTTAACACTAAATAACTATTGAGAAAGAAGATTGATGCTTTTTAGGAAAGTATTATTTTGGAAAAGCCAGTAATCATAGCACAAGAATGGGTATAATGATTTACGAATTACATTGATTAAAAATATTTTCAATTATCGTAATGCCTAAAAAATACTCTAAATCAATAATGGACCATTTACACGAGGCCAATTGTAAGGACATTCAACTTAACCAATCCAGTGACAAAGAAGCAATTGCTAAGAGAGGATGGTAAACTAGACCATAGCTAGCCAGATCTACACTAGGTCAATAAAATCTAATATTAGAGCATTAAAAAACAGAAAGAATACAAATTGTGTGTGAGAATGACACCAGATTTGTTAGAAGTACTTCTTGGATAAGTGGGTTCTATTCAGTTGACTCTATTTTATTAAAAAAAAAATGGTTTATAAATGGTTTCAATCCCAGCACTAGATCGCATAGATTTTTCAACTTTATTTACCATTTAAGTAGATAAACGTTTAAATTCTTCTTTACAACTTTGGTTGTCATTTCTGGTAGCACCATTCTAACAATTATCTTTATTTACTTTCACCATATAAGTAGATAAACGTTTAATTTCTTCTTTACAACTTTGGTTGTTATTTCTGGTAGCACCATTCTAACAATTATCTTTTTTAAATATGTATTTCTTGCCTTTAGGTCGCGATATAATGAACTATTAATTCTCCACATGCATTCTTCTTTATATAACAATATAAATTCTGGTGTCATCTCAGCAGTCCGTTTTCCCAAAGCATCTTGAAAGCAAAACAAAAATATACAAACAATACCACGAGCACCTGGAAATCGCTTACTGGAATGATTTATTGGGTAGAAATGCATGGTACAAAAAATTACAGAGGTATGATATTAGGCCAAAGAAATCTCGTCGAGTTCACGCAGTTATAGTATCATGCTATAAACGTACATTCCTACAACCCATTCCAACGCGCACTTGATAGGGGAAGTTATTGGCTCCAACAAATTTGGAACGATTCTAATTTAGTAGAATTGGTTTGAAACATTACATTAGCATGGTTTTCCTATTCACAACGTTCCAATATTAAATTGAATGAATATTCAGACGAACCTTAAGTATAACCACACTATTAAATAAGTCAATGAATTTAAATACTTCGGAAGTAAAATGAGGCCTATCAAAGCAAAACACGCCTTATCCACATTTTATGAAAATTGAGTTAAAAATTGCATTATTTACCCGGAGTTGCCTCGCAGCAGTCAGCAAAGTTAAAACGTAGCAAAATCAGCTATATCTAGTTTAATTTTACTTCTGAAATATCGCAATCATAGCAAAACTGGTCTTATCCAGGCTTACTGCCAAAGTATAGCACGCGTTATCCACCTGACCAATAGGAATAATCCATGGCGGGTGGCGTGACTCTCAGCTTGGCAAAGACTTTGGTAAACCCCAAGGTTTCAGCTCAGATTGCCTTTTACAGTAAGCAGTTATAACTTTAATACTGCTATACCTACAATATAGTTCAAGATCCTTCCAAGACAAAAATGAGCAATGAAAATGTATATATTTTTACTTGGATGGAACATCAGTTTCATAAAGGATCAAATGAAATTCTTTTAAAAACTGAGCTCTCATCATACTTTGGTGCTGGTGGACGTAGAGGACCAAACCGAAACTTAACTATGATTGGCATGCTTAGTTTTTCCGATACCAAGCCATTAATTTCTGCCTCCAGATAGAGTTTTTAGGAGAATCGAAAAGATGTTAAAAAAGCAGCCAACAATCACTAATCCCAAAACTTACCTGGATATTTTCAAAGAATATGGAAATGTTGCTATCTTGGGGAATGACTATCCAGTGATGGATTGGAAGTCCAATGTTTTTTAAACCCGTTAGATCATGGCTTCAAGTTTTCACTTGCCAATAGATTCATGTTCACAAAAAACAAAAATGGAAATGTTGCAATATGTGGGGAACTTTATTATAATTCAAATGGTGGAACAGCCAGACCAGTTATAAGAAAGACAACAAGTTTGAGCATTTTTCTATTCAGATTATTTCAATGGGCGTTCCAGTAAAACCAGCAAAGCTAGCTGATGTTAACAAATTGGTAACTAAACATTTCGAAGAAGAATGGCAAGAAGGAGAAGACTTATCGTTTCTTGAAACACCACTCTTATCAGACATCAGTCAAGCAGGTGTTACTCAAGATACCATCGACGAGCTCGGGAAAGACTTTTGTGAATCAAGAACGCCAGAAGAGGATATCGATCTAAAAATCTAATTTTTTATATTACATTGATTTTTAGATATGTCAGAATTTATTCACTGTGTGTTGTCATTGTGGGCTTGTATAATTATTAAAATTGCTTATTAAAAACGCATTTGTAAATACTGTGTTGTTGATAGTTTAGCTAGTATGTTACTATTATTTACACGTAAATCAAATGGAGAGTAAAATCTTCATGCAAAGGTAAAAAAAGCCGAAAGAATGTGGCCGATAAATCCAAATGGAAGAAAGAAATATTCAACCGTAGCAAGTATGTATTAGAAGTATTAATATAGAGCAAAACTTACTAAACATATTTTATTGCTTTAGGCATAAGCCAAAGAACTTACCACCTAGATACAAACGATGCAAGATGCCTACATACTAAAACATTTCAAAAGTCTTTAACCAAAACGGAATAGGCAGAAGAAAGAAGAGAGCAGCAAGAAAACTGTATCAACAAGATATTTTATGAAAAAATCAGCTTGGCAGAAGTTCGAAATACAGGTATGTTAGACAGCTTTCTTAGATGTTCTTGGTATATCCAGAGATCGAGTTCGGAGAGTAGTTAAGAGGCACTTACAAACAGGGCTTATACCCACAGAAAATCGGGGTGGTGATCGCGTCAGTAAGAAGTATGAGCAAAAAAGGATTGCTGAAAAAATTTATCAAAAACTTGAAAAGTGCCGAAAGTCACTATTGTCGATTAAAGATGGGTAATCGACAGTACTTAGCCAGCCATCTAAGTAATTATAGGCTTCGGAACATATATAATGAGTCACATGATGCAATCCCTAATGTAAAGAAAACTTCTTCCAAAATATCTTTTCCAGAAAATATAACATTTGTTTCGGAATGCTTGCTCCAAATGTTAGCAGGAAAATTAGGCTCAGAAAAGTTCCTGCCAAGAAGACTGGCTCAATGGTGAAAAAGAATCCACGCTTTAAGATCAAAGTCGTTTTTCGTGAAACTTAAGGAAGTTAAGGATAATATGATTACTTTCTTGTTTTACTGCCAAAAAAAATTAATATTGCTATAACTTCACTATAGTACAAGGTTCTTTCAAGACAAAAATAAGCAATGAAAATGTATATATTTTTACTTGGATGGAACATTAGTTTCATAAAGTATTAAACGAAATTGCCTTAGTAGTATACAGTATTCTTTTAAAAACTGACCTCTCATCATATTCAATAATAAGACTTTGTGCTGGTGGATGTGGGGGACAAAACCAAAACTCAACTATGATTAGCATGCTATCATATTTTTTGTCTTAAAATGTCAAATCTAACCAGTAATGAATTAGTTTTTCCGATACCAGGCCATTCATTTCTGCCTCCAGATAAAGTTTTTGGGAGAATCGAAAAGATATTAAAAAAGCAGCCAACAATCACCAATCCCAAAACTTACCTGGATATTTTCAAAGAACATGGAACTGTTGCTATCTTGGGGAATGACTGTCCAGTGATGGACAGGAAGTCCAGTGTTAGAGTGTTTTTTAAACCCGTTGGATCATGGCACTTGTTTTCACTTGCCAAGAGATTCATATTCACAAAAAACAGAAATGGAAATGTTGCAATATGTGGGGAACTTTATTATAATTCAAATGGTGGAACAGCCAGACCAGTTTTAAAAAAGGCAATAAGATCGAGCATTTTTCTGCTCAGATTATTCCAATGAGCGTTCCAGTAAAACCAGCAAAACTAGCTGATGTTAACAAATTGCTAATTAAAACATTTCGAAGAAGAATGGCAAGAGAGAAAATACTTATCGTTTTTTAAAACACTCTTATCAGACATGAGTCAAGCAGGTGTTACTCAAGATACCATCGACGAACTCGGGGAAGACTTTTGTGAACCAAGAACGCCAGAAGAGGATATCGATCCAAAAATATAATTTTTTATATTATATTATAATGATTTATTAAAATAAATGCTTTATCTAATCCCTATCACTGCGTAACTTGTCAAATCCAAAGTGACACTGCAATCCAAATTATTATTGCTTTTTAAAACTATTATAGTGGTGTTCACTTTAATCTAAGTACAAAACACCCTACCTTTTTTTAATGCTATATAGGTATTAATTTGTCAAAATAAAGACCAAAAAAATAATCGGCGTAAAGGTTTTTAGCTTGTTGTGCAAAATTACCAAAAATGGATATGACACGTTTTGCTTTAATAGGCCTTAAATATAACAGATTAAGATCCTGCCAAAAAGAAAAACAGTAAAGAATAGAGCAACCCAATGCCTCATTTAATAAATTAAGAGCATTTTATTAGATAGAAAATAGAGAAAAGTTTAGAATAATAAAAATGGTTTAAGTATGTATAGAAAATCTCAATAAAAACTCTTAATATTTCAGAACCTAATAAAGATAGGTATTTAAATTTTGTAAAGGGCATATTAGTTGTCTTTAATTCTCGGGGACTTAACCAATAAGTTTTAATTGAGCTGCATAACAAAAAAACCGTTCTTTAATTTTTCGACGAAGATGTAATTGAAAAAAGACTATTGATATATCTGAAAAAAGCAGAGCCTTTAAATCGAATCCATCTTCATTACTGAATGCATAGAACAGTAATTTAGATGAAGAAAAAAATATTCGCAACCGTACATATTTTATTTATACATTAGTGCAAAAAAGTGTGGCGTGGTAACGTACGAGTATGTTCTCATTATGGATGACGTCCTAAAACATTTCATATCTGTATTTATCCCAAAATCCAAAGACATAATATAAAATAGTTATTTATGCAACAAGTGTGTAAAGGGACTTTAAACACGAATTGCATACAATATTTTTTCTACTATCAAAAAATGAAGGTTTTATATACATTTTCTGCAGGCACTACTGCGTAAAGTATATTTTCTTACGCACTAGTGTGTAAACAAAGTTTAATTTTTCGTTCAAATTATAACACTTTGGTTTGTAATAAAATATAATTAAACTAATTTAATATACATATTTTCACCAAATTAAAACAAATTAACTAGATTAACTAAATGTTATTATTTAGTTATTAATAATAAAACGAATTAACTAGATTAATATGGAATTGAATATAAGTTATTTAATTATTAACAATATTAATGTGAAAAGTGCAGTTTGTGCACTTGGTAAAATTTAATCCTTTAGCTTTCTCCTTGCTAGAGTTTACTGTGGTTTCAGAAACTGAACACGTAGTATTACTAACAACATTAGGTACTGTTGTTTAATTTACTATAGCTAAGGTTAGTTACTTCATAACATGAAGAATTGCCAATAACGTTGCTAACTTGCGTGGAAATAGAAGGGGAGTTATCTTCTATTACATTTGCATTAGAAATATTTTGTGATGTGCAAGGGATATTGTCATCCATTAATATTAAATTAGATACATTATTTCTTTTACTTAAAGCAGAATCTACGTAGCCTTCTGCGACAGTAAGCGACTTCCAGTCCCATGTTTTTTAACTGGTCTTCTCCAGAATTTGCCAACATTGTTGTTGATGACCTCCTAAAACAATGTCCAGTATACATAGTCAGATTAGGGAATTGAAGATAATTTGCTACAAGAAAGTAGACAGTACATAATAGTAAATCCGACATTTTTTCAATCAGGCAAGGAGGTAGGGGCAGGCTGTAGGCTAGTAGCTAGGCCTTTAGGGCTACCACCATACCATAATAGTATTTGTAACTTAGCCTATCAAATTTCATTAAAATATTTAGGCGATTTAGGCCTACAGTTTAAGGTATAGTCAGTCAGTATGTACAAATAAAGAAAATAGCCTAACGCCAGAAACAAAAAAATAGTAGGCCTAGACCCCTTAGTCTAGTCTAGCCTTAGGTTAGGAACATTTGATATTAGCGTTGTCGTTGTATGAAGATAGTCATTAGGTTTTGTCAATACAAGCGTTATAAAAAAACATTAAATATTATGGTTGCTAGGAAGTTTTTTTATCAATGATTTATACCTAATAAAATCGATAGCATATAAAGAATAGCCTCATTCCCCGATTCAGTTGTAGTTACTCTTACCCAAACATTAATATTAGGCATTCCAAACTGAATGTCTACCAGTGGGCTTTGACGGGTTATGATATTGCAAAATTATGGCAACCCTGTAGACCTGTTGATTTGATAAGGTCAATGAAATAGATAGTTACATAGAATGATTATCCATATTTTTCAAAATAAACATAAGCGTATGCCTTGAAGTAAAAATGTAAGCAATTATTTTTTTTTAATATCTAAAGGATAAAAATTTGTTTTAAAACACATTTTTGCTAAACCGATTCAAATTAATAAATATTTGCCAGGCAATATGGCCGCTCGTAAACGACCAGCTTTGAGCAATCTATATAACTATATATGTATCATTGACCCTGTTAATAACAACATGACAACAGGGTTGCCATATCTAAACTGTCATTACCCACTGGTAGCTATTTGGACAAGTCGTTGGAATGCCTAATTTCTTGAGCGCAAAGCGCAATAGGTGGCGCTGCGCCTGCGCGTTATTCATATATATCTGTCGAAGAAACAGAAAAAGGCATTTGTTGGTAAATAACATTACTAGCGCCGTCAATCAATTGTTGATTGACGATTGACCTCGTCGGATGGAGAAGGCTATTCCCTTATGCGCTTTTGCTAATATCAAATGTTACAATCGGTATTTATTATCGTATTAATATCAAATATGTATTTTTTTTAGGAAAGCCTCAATCAAAGTTTGGCCGAAGCAATTTTTGTAAGCGGTACTCCATTGTCTATGGTTGAACACCCACTGTGGTTAGAATTCTTTAAACGACTTCGTCCTTCATTCAAACCACCATCAAGGTATCGCCTTTCATCAACTAATCTCAAAGCTCAGTATACAGAAATGCAAAATGAAGCTAAAGGAGTCAAAATACTTTTCATCAACTAATCTCAAAGCTCAGTATACAGAAATGCAAAATGAAGCTAAAGGAGTCAAAATACTTACATTTAGAATATGATAGCTGGAGCAGCATCAGAAATGAGTCTATTGTCA